CAAATAAACTACCATGCGTCCTGGCTTTAGTTACATAGCGATGACAACATTCTAAACATTTTAACGTCTAGTCCGAGTTCAACTAAATGTAGTCGCAATTTCATTCTAGAGATCGGCTAATGACCCGGGAGAGAATTTTAAAGATGTCAACTTTTCAAATGACCGATCGACTCTAGCTAAAAATAGTGCGAGCTTCATTCCAGAGTTTGGTTTAGAAGCATCTCACTAAGGTCAGTATGTTTGAAGAGGATTTTAAAGATACTGAGTCACAAAATATCTCAGGAAGAATTCGGCATGCCTAAGCCTATGCCTATGCATACATTTATCAGGTTTCGATATACAGTTTCGAGGTAATGAAATCAATTTCAACATGTGGCTTTTTATCATTAATATATTTCGACACGACTGGAGGAATCGTAAGAACTTCTTTTGTGAAAACGAAATAAATATATGTGTACACTACCGTAATACTAATTGAAAGATATATATAGGGATATACCCTACATTTTTTATAAAGGCAGCTCCTGACGCAAACACGATTTTTAATCTTGCATGACTTCTGTTACTCATACTCATAGATCTAATATAGTATGCATACTGACAAATCCATGTGATAGTTTTTTTTATCCATGACAACTGGTAACTTTATTTCTAATACATAAGGCGTAAATTTATTTACCGAGCTGCATGTGACGGACGTGTGTGAATTTTTTTGCAACTAAACGGTATAGACCAGGCAATAAAGAGAAAAATATCTAGATTTTCGCGGCCCGGTTCGATTTTAATGCGGTTTTTTGCATTTTGTTCAGAAAGACCGTCGGAAAAAAGTCCCGCCTTTTTTATTATCCGGAAGTGGCGGAAATGCATCGCGGGTGCATAAAGTACATCTAGAAGTGCATCGCATCCGAGAAACATGCCAAAGTGCACGAAATACCGCAAAAATTGGTATTCGGGGGTTTTGGGGGGCGCAGAATTCGAATATGCATATATCCAGTCTACCCGACCCCCCCGGGGGGCGACTTCCGGCCGCCTGGGGGGCGCGGGGGGCACGTGGATTGCAAGGTTCTCCGAATGACTGGAAAAATGGATCTCGGGGGTTATCGCGGGTACTCATTCCGAATTCGAGGATGAAAAATATCCCCTGTGCACGTGGAGGTGGAGGGGGGGTATGAAATCTAAAGTTCTCGAAATGACTGGGAAAATGTATCTCGGGGGTTTTCGCGGGTGCTGATTCCGAATCTGAGGGTGAAAAATATCCCCTGTGCTCGTGGAGGGGGCGGTGGGGGGTAGGGGGGTATGAAATCTAAAGTTCCCGAAATGACTGGAAAAATGGATCTCGGGGGTTTTTGCCGGTGCTGATTCCGAATCTGACCCTGCCAAATGCGTCCGATGACTATTTCTGATTTCACTTACTGCGTATACAATATACATGTATGTGCGCGTCCTCGCTTCATCTGTCTCTTCCTCTTTTCTGGGACCCCTCCCCAAAAATTCCACTGTTATGTATAGGTACCGCCAGACAGCTACGCGCATCCGTATACCTGAGATTCGAGAGCGTATACAGCGGGAATTTCGAAAAGCAGCATCTCAGAATATTATCGAATTTCGTACTCTTCTCATTCTTCCCCCGGGGCCTGATTGTCCTAATATATCACTAACATCACACGTTATAATTTTCTATCCCCAAAATACTCTTTATTCCATGTTACCAGTTCATGAATATTATAACCCTCCCCCTACCCCCCACCGCCCTCTCCACGAGCATAGGGGATATTTTTCACCCTCAGATTCGGAATCAGCACCCGCGAAAACCCACGAGATACATTTTCCCAATTTTTGCGGTATTTCGTGCACTTTGGCAAGTTTCTCGGATGCGATGCACTTCTAGATGCACTTTATGCACCCGCGATGCATTTCCGCCACTTCCGGATAATAAAAAAGGCGGGACTTAATTTCCGACGGTCTTTCTGAACAAAATGCAAAACACCGCATTAAAATCGGACCGGGCCGCGAAAATTTAGATATTTTGGGGTAAATCGTTCTTTATTGTCTAGTACTAGTTGGTCTAGTATGAGTTATCAAAATTTTGGAAGACAGAATTTAGTTAAAAAAGTTTTAGTTTTTATCAAAAAAAAATTGTGATGATCAGATAATACCAAAAAAAAAATGAATATTTTTTTTAACTGAGGTACCTACCTCTCTAGTTTAAGGCATTTGTGCAAGTCAGTAATTAACATTAATTGCATATCAGGAAAAGCCTTTTTACAATATGTTTTCATATACCAAATTTCATTTTAATCGTTCAACGCTTTTCCGGTTTATAACTGATTAATGATTACTTAAGGTAAATTAGCGTAAATCGTTGTAGTTTGACTTTCAGAATCTAGGGTGGCTCGCTGGTACATACATTTCAGGAACACCCTGAAGATTAGATTGCTATCAGTAACGAACGGTCCATCAGTAATTCTTTGGTAGAAAATTATTCTGGACAACTAAAGAAGTATAAATATTTGTTTTTGAACATAACCCGTCATAATTGTCTTGAGATTTACCATTGTTAATGAAAAGTTTAGTTTTTTAACAAATCCACAGTAACCAAATATGGCATTTAAGGAAGCGAAAAGGTAGAAAAAAATGGTTCCTTTACAAATGTTTTAAATTTTATAGCAATTTTCGCCAGCGAAAGCTGCTATATGTAAGAATTAATTATTATCATGTCCAACTATTTCTATAAAAAAAAATTATTAACTTAAAAATACTTAATATACTTATATCCTACGCTATAGCGTAATTCTGTTTGTTATGCAACATGCAGCTTGCAAAATGTTAAAAGTTTGAATAATAGAGGATTAGATGCGTATTAAGTAATGATATATAAATAATAATATTATAATACATACTAAACTGACCTAATGTAAACTAAACCTGACCTAACATAAACTAACCTAATATTAGTTTGCGATATGTCCGAACACCTGCCTACTTCCTTTCTATAATAGCTATTTTTATGCATTGATCTTTTCCAAAGGTGATGTTAGAGCAACAAAAATATTTCTTTGAAACACTGCATTTAACTGCTTCAATATTTCGGTTATGTTTTTTTTATAGACACATCATTTTTAGTTTTTATTTTGGAAAATTATTAATTACTAACTTTTTATTAAATATTGTTGGTATAATTCAGTACTATTTGGGGCATATAATCCATACAGTAGTTGTTTCCTACAATATAAATAGTTGGTGATCTTCTCTGTGAGGTGAGAAATCCTTTGCATGGCTAGATTTTTGATATCAAAGAACACAGTTTGACTTAATTGAACAGGATTTATTTTAGGATAAATATTTTGTAGCCACCATAATTTATTTCAATTGGCTTAATATTTTTATAATAGAGCAAGATTTAGAGAATTACTTACAATGAAAAAAGATTATCTAAAATTGTGCGTTAGAGAACTGTTTACTTACGAGCGTTTTGAAATAATACACTCTTTGCTGAACCTATTTTAGTAAAATGCGCCATATTTCCCACATTTATAGAGATATTATGGTACATTCTAGACATAGTTAGAAAGCAAAAAAGATCTATGTTATTCTCGATCATTGCCAACTACTAGCTAATGGGTTGGGTAATAAGTATTGTTCGTTTATTTCAAATTTAAAAAGTCACATAAAAAGGTATTGTCAAATCGACACGCATTTGAAAAATTAAATTTTTGTGAATTTTCATTCAATTGATATGGAATATCAAGTTAATAAGATTGATCATTTTTGGTACATGCAACTTTTTGTTTTTAATCTAGACGGAGAAAACGTTAAAGCCGCACAAGCTGCTCGGAAAATGTGTGCCGTATATGATGATAATGTGATGAATAAACGAACCGTTTGTCTAGTCTCCCTGGGACCGTGCTGATGATTTTTGCATTTTAAAAAAGGTGATTTCAATATTAAAAACATGAATCGCTCCGGACGCCTTGCCATGTTGAATTTGATGAAGAGCAATTAATCGACTCCTTCACGAAAATCTAAGACAATCAACAAGAACTCAGGAGATGGGATGTGATTACAAAACAGGAGTTTCCCCCTGCATTCGATGGGAAAAGTTCAAAGACTCGGCACTTGGGTCTCACATGTTTTGAAAGAAAACAATAAGAATCAACACTCCGCAATGGCCGCTGGTTTGCTCTGTCATCATCGATCAACACGTGCTCGGCCATAACGAATGGATCGGGAATGGAAGCAACTGCATTTACGCAAAACGGCGGTGGAATATTTCGACACGAGTGTGTATGTGCCATCAATGTCGTGGAGGCCATGTACCCGATATGATATTGCATACATAACCCTATACTGTATGCTTTATGAATCAATGAAAAATTTACAATTTTTAATTAAAAACCTGTGTTTTCTATCAAAGTACTTTTTGCGTGAATTTTAGGACACCCTTTAATACCAACAGAATTTTTGGGACACTCTTTATATGTCGTCCCTACACCAAGTATTTTATAAGGAATTTTGTATATAGAAATTGCATACCCATTAGTGAGGTTAGATCTTTACAAGAAGAAATGTCTGATAAAATAATATTATTAATTAAATAAAGAAATATAATGGCAGATTATTGAAAATTTAAAATGATAAAATAAACAGTAAATAATTTTTTAAATAAATTACAAGATGCAAGATAAAGAATATATTAACTTTATTCATAACATGTAACAAGTACAAAAAATTTCATCACAATATCGATCAAATAGTTGTGAAAACAAATACAAATATATATAAATCATTTTTTACAGTAATGACCTTTAAAATCAATTAAAATAAGGAAGTTAAAATTAAAAAAATATAATTTAAGTTAATAATAATTGAAAGTTTTTTTATTTATTTGATATTATAAAACAAGCTACATTAAAATAATATAATTTTAATTATAACAAATAACAAAATCAACCGAACACTTATGAAGACAAAAATAAATAAATCATTTTTTAAAGAAGACTCCTTAAATAATAATAATAATAAAAATAAAGAAACTGAAATCAGAAAAATATAATTGCACATTTTTAAGAATTTGAAGGGGTAAAATGAATTGCTAGTCAACAATTTTTATAATTATGTGATATTTTGGAATTAACGAACACAAAAATAAATAAATCATTTCCGCTATTTCTATATGAAAACAATTAAATATAATAGAATATAGAAAACGATTTAGCTATGTGGTAATTTCCCCTGAACTTTATTACACAATTAATCACTATTGTCATATTTCGTCTATAAGGATTAAATTTTTTCTGGATTATTTTGGATGTCATCTTCAAATTGAATATTTTCTTCTGCGGTGCTTTCTTCTTCTTTCTCGCTAAAGAGGTACTTATACAATCCGGTGCCTAATACAGCTCCAATATTTGGAGCAACCCAGTAAATCTATGAAAATGAGAATCACATTAATTGATTATTTTTAAAAAATATGTACCTATTATTCATTTATGTTTTTATCATCTTTGTTTATCTATTTGTTTTTGTTTCTGTGACTGATATCGTTGAAAATTTAAATATCTTAACCTTTTTTCAACAGGATGTTCAATAGATCTATCAAAAATTCACCAGATTAACACTTGAATGAATTTAAACCAACAAGCCTTAATGAACCAAGAGTCAAAAGTCACTGGTTTTCGAGATACAAGGAGATGAGGTTTAAAGTACATTGTGTAACGAGTGAGGAAAACTTTTCCGAACGAGTTGCACATACTATTTTCTATCACAAGTGCGAGTCGTTATGGGACCTATAGCGTATAACGCTCCAGCGTTGCGCTATGAAAATAACACCACGCCGTTGTACTATCTAGCACTTTCCGTGCACATAACCCCCTACGCTATAGGTCCCATAGCGAGCGCGCGTGACAGAAAAAATATATCACATGTATCCAAATATCCCTGAATATGTTTTAATGTCATTCATGACAGTTAGGCTAAATCATTAGCATTATACAGGGTGTCCGGTAACTACGGGGAAAAAATAAAGGGTTATATAGAGCAGGTTAAACGAGTGCTAGTACTTCATATAAACTTTTTACCTAGGTGCCATTATTGAGGAGTTATTGTCACTCAAAGTAAGAAGTTGAAAAATGAATATTGCCCATAATTTCTAAAGGGTGACTTTGATTAACTTGAAATTTGGGTGATCAAAGCAACTCATTCAAATGTATCTTTGAATCAAATATTTTTAATTATACAAGGACGGTCGAAATTATATTCTAAAATTTACGCAACTTTGACAGAGCTGTCAAATTTGATATTTCGCCCTCGCAGGCAGATAACCCTGCTACTTTTCTACAAAAAAGGTATACTTCATGACTTATGAAAAAATGAACGGTTGTCAAGATAATTAAATTTTTGTATTTTGTGTATAGCCACAATCGGGGACACAACGCAACAGAAAAAAAGTAAAGAATGAAACATATGGATTAAAAGAGGTTACTTTAGTAAATGCTCGATATGTCCTCCATCTAGTTCAATGCACTTCCTTATTATTCTTTTAAGATTATTTTGTTGCACTCTAAATAGCATTTGTGGATTCTGTTCAATTTCATTACAATGATGTTCTATTCTTGCCATCAACTCTTCTCTTGTATAAACCGGAGTTGAATACACCAATTCTTTTAGGTAACCCCACAAGAAGAAGTCAAGGGGGTTAAGATCTGGTGATCTAGGTGCCCATAAGTGTGGTCCGCCTCGCCCAATCCACCTATCACCAAATGTTGCGTTGAGGTAATTTCTAACTTCACGACTGAAGTGGGGCGGTGCCCCATCTTGCATGAAATACATCTCTTGTCTTGTTTGCAATGGCATATTTTCTAGTAGTCGATTTAGATCGTGTTGTAAAAAATTCAAATATCGGGCACCGTTTAATCTATCCGGTAAGATTGGTTACCGATTATTCCTGCCCATACATTAACTATGAATCTTTGCTGGTGTTTACCTTGAATGACTAAATGAGGGTTTTCATCACACCATACATACATACATATAAATTATGGAGGACATATCGAGCATTTACTGAATTAACCTCTTTTAACCCATATATTTCATTCTTAACTTTTTTCTGTTGCGTTGTGTCCCCGATTGTGGAATTTAATTATCTTGACAACCGTTCATTTTTTCATAAGTCATAAAGTATACCTTTTTTGTAGAAAAGTAACAGGGCTATCTGCCTGCGGGCGAAATGTCAAATTTGACAGCTCTGTCAAAATTGCGTAAATTTTAGAACATAATATCGATCGTCCTTGTATAATAAAAAATATTTGATTCAATTTTAAATGTACAAAGATACATTTGAATGAGCTTTGATCCCCCAAATTTCAAGTTAATCATCGTAACCCTTTAGAAATTATGGGCAATATTCATTTTTCAACTTCTTACTTTGAGTGACAATAACTCCTCAACAATGGCACCTAGGTAAAAAGTTTATATGAAGTACTAGCACTCGTCTGACCTGCTCTATACAGGGTGATTCATTAATAATGGGACAGAGCTTAAGGGCATGTTGCTGACCTCAAAATAGAGCGATTAAGCCAAATATGCCTTATCCGAATGTTGCTCCTTTTCGATTTACAGGGTGTTAAAGTTGAAAAAATATTTTCGATTTTTTTAAATATCTTGAGCATCTTTGAACGGATTGCCTTGAAAGTTTGTACACCTATGTTTTCTGAGGTGGTAATTACGGAAATGGTAACTATTTTGCAATCACATCTAGGATGCGCTAGTTGTAGTGTTCCGTCG